ACTCTTATAGAATGGTCATTAAATCAAAAATAAAATCAATTGATAGGAAAAATTTTCAATAACTGACGTCTTAGTGATTTATTAGATAAAACCATGTACACAATATCTATATATAAAGACATTTTTATATTTATACATTCTTTTTATACATACAAATATTTGAGTAAATGCTCTGTTTATAATAAACAGTATTAAACAACATTTACCGGTCTGAATGTCCGAGAAATTCTCACAGAAAATATTCATCCTCCGACAGGATTCGAACCTGTAACCTATACGGAACCGTCATTTAGCTTGACGTGCCTTTACCGATTTTGCGACGGAGGAGCGTTCGGTAGGCAAGGTCGAATTTACTGTATTTAAACTTCAATCTTCCATGAATCTCTCACGTACATTCATATCTGTCCATGGCGTATCAAATGTTAACAAATGACGTCACACATTATGAAATTATATATATATATATATATATATATATATATATATATATATATATATATATATAATGAATACAGACGATTCTTAAAATCCATTCGGCTATAATTTATTTCACAAATATACAAATATTCACCTTTTCAGGCTGAAGAAATGGAGTCAATTACTCCACACGAATGGAAAAGGGGAGGAAAAAAAAAAAAAAGGAAAAAAAAATAATTTTGAAAGAGCAAGAAACAACAATAAAAATTTCAGTAGAAGCTTTTAAAAAAAAACGCGTACAGCCATAAACAATCGAACAGCTAAACATTTAAAAACGTAAACAGTGGAAAAGATGCCCATTCGCTAAGTTTGTATTTTATAAAACGATACTAATACGTGACTATTACATGCATTATAGGATACAGTTAAGTAAAACATCAGTTTTATCAAAATCGTGTTTATTTCAAATACAGGTCTACATTTTGGCTACAGAAAATCGATTGGTCAACGTCGTAGCCAGGGCCAACAGTACATACGCTAATTTTATATCACGTGTATGATGCTACCCTCTTAAAATCAACTTCAAAATTAGGTTTTTAAACGTCGCATGATACGCGAGTATACATGGTATATTTTTCCTCACATTTTAATATTAAACTCTATCTTAATCATGGTTCCTCGTTTATTTTCAGTTTGTCTATAACTACGCGAAACTTGTATACATTTTACTCGTTACTAACGATTCTTCTGGTAGGGTGTTGCTCGAAAAAAAAAAAGGCTATCTTTTTGGCCAAAAATAAGTGATTTTGTCTTTAAAATTTCTGACACATGATATATATATATATATATAATAAAAAGGCTTAAACACTAATATTCCATGGTCATAATTTATTCCATTGGAATCGTAAATACGATCCAATTCATCAGACCTACAAATTCAAAAAGAAAACAGAAAAAACAGCTCCGGAAATAAAAACAGAATTTGGAGAGAGTGTAAGTATGAGGAGGAGGGAGATCAAACCTTAACAGAGAGAATTTTAGGAGAGATGGGTGGAAGGGGTTTAAGTAAGAGAAAAATGAATGTTGTCGGATGTCTAATGCATAAAGATACATTTCGTGGTGACATACACACACCATAGACAATCTAATGTTAGAATAAGAGGGAGGTAAAGTACGAGGTGGGGGAGAGAGATGGGGCGAAGGAAAGTAAAATTGCGTTTACTTAATTGCTTTGTAATTGAGAAAATTTGACAAATTTAATATCGACTACAGGTTACAAATATAAACATATAAAAAATAAATATAACGATTATCTAATCCAGCAAGGACCTATATTCCTATGTTCAAAAACACATGCGAATATACACATACACAATAATATATACACGTATATACATACACATAGGCGTGTACCCACATACATATACCCATGTACACACATATAAAAATATAAAAATATATTCACATATCCACACATACACATATTCATCTATATCCAAATATACACACTTTTCACATACATATACATACACATGCACACATGCATATCTCTCTCTCTCTCTCTCTCTCTATATATATATATATATATATATATATATATATATATATATATATTCGACTCTCCCGTCGAATTAGACGTATGAAGGTCAAGCAGATCTGTTCCTAGGAAGCTGACAGCCCGACAACAGTACATGAGATTTGATTATAGTGGTGAAGGTTTCGTGCAGGACCATCAACTCTTTATATATATATATATATATATATATATATATATATATATATATATATATGTTTCATCAAAACGACTGACAAGGTACTGCGGTGACGTTTTTCATTTAATTTTCTTTTTCCTTGGACATTAATTATGTCGACATTGTCCGATTGTTCTGCATGTCCGAGCACTTTCGCTTATACTTTTAGCCATTATCAAGGATAATTTTATTGTTTTACTTTTAAATGAATGCATGAATTGTTTTTATGCACGTGTCTAGAGTTATACGAATGTCTTATGTTCCAAACACGGTCAGCACATTTTGGCCGTGTTTAGAGTTGATATTATAGCGGGCAGTCTTCTTCTTTCAATTATTAATAATGCTTGAATTATTCATTTGTACAATTTCTATATAATTTATATCCAGAAAAGAAGAACATTTTCAGAACACAAGAAAAATTAAATAAAAAACTTAACCGCAGGACCTTGTCAATCTTTTTTCAATGGAACTTCTATAAAGAGTGATTTTGACCAAATACACAATTATATATATATATATATATATATATATATATATATGTGTGTGTGTGTGTGTGTGTGTGTGTGTGTGTGTATATTACGACTTCCATCTAATTACACTGTAGATGTAAGCCATTGATAGTTGGGATGTTTGAATCTTCTGGATTCTCTGGTTATGGATTTTTAATTCTTTGGTCAGTCCAGATTGACTGCAACTCGACTTGCCACAGTATGTGTGCAGATAAAATCGTTGTTAACCCGAAAAGCGTGGTAATTACAGTTGGTTCTCCTTGTAAACGTTCCCATGCGACTAACGATGCCTGCTAGGGTTTGGTTTGGTTTGGTTTGTTTTACGGCATATCAATCACAATGGGTTATTTAATGCCGACAAAATTATCATTGTTGGCAATATTTAAAAAAAAAAAATTATTTCTGGCAATATTTTTTCCTTCAAAAATCTATTTCTGTTAATAATTTTTGTTCGTTGGTAATATTTTTTCTCAAAAAATGTATTGCTGGTAATATTTGTTTTTCAGATCTGTATTGCTGGTCATAAATATTTTTTATAAATTATTTCCAGTAATTTTTTGGTATCAGTCAATGTGGCATGAATTAAATTACTATATTTATTGAACAATTTAGTCCATGCCACATTGACTGTTAAACTCCTACAAAAAAAATTCTCAAATTGCCATATGAGTAAAAAAAAGAAAACGCACTCTCTTAAATTTTCAAAAATTCAACCTTAGCATTGCGACTGCGCGCTCCAAAAGATTGTATCCATTAACAATAACACATTTAAAAAAAAAAAACAACTTATTTTGATTCGCATTTAATTTTTTTTGTCTCGGATGCGACCTGAATTTTACCAAAAACAAAATAATTTCCATGCCTGAAGATGACTGAATGTACAGTTGAAAGTACTTGCGTATTAAAGAAAGACCTTATACAACTTATAATTTAAAAAAAAATAATGGATCATAACAATCATCGGATCATTTGTAGGTTAATGCACCTTTAAAATTTTGTTAGCGAAGGGATTTCGCCATTTTATATCATTAACTTTACTAATCTAATTTGTAGGAAAATAACAGGGGTGGGTGCTTTAGACAGCAAGGTTCCATTTCCCATTTTAAGGAATTCCCACTTCCTTGTTCAGATTTTGCTTGAAAGCTCATATCTGCTTGAAATGTAAGTAAAGCAATAACAAAAAAAAATGTCTATATGCCTGAGATAAAGTATTATAATTACTTGCATTGTTTACATTATTCGGACCGTTATCCTCATCTTTATTGCCATATTCACAACGTTCCGGCCATTGCACGCTCCGGCCTTCTTCAGGTGATTTCTAACCGAACCATTTATTTCGTCCACCGGGGGTAGATTGTTCTAGTTTCACGTGCCATGCCTCTTCAGGATGTCTCAGTTATTTCCCTTTAACTCAACTCTCCAAGTTTTTGGTTCACCATAGCTGTGGCCTGGTATTGAACTCACAACTCTTTGGGTCTAGTCACTTGATCTAAGCAACGTCATTATCCACTGGGCCATGTATCTTTTAGAAAGATGCATGGCACGTGGAACTAGAAAAATGTACCCCAGTGGACGAAATAAACTGTTCAGTTCGAAATTTCAATCACCTGAAGATAGCCGAAGCGTACAACGGCCGAAACGTTGTGAATATGGCAATGAAGATGAGAATAATCGCCCGAGTAATGTAAATAATGTAAGTAAAAAAAAAAAAAGAAGTTATTTTTAATTCGATATGTTTATTACTTCAAGCATTACTTTTAGTGTATATCCGTGTTTGAATTTTTTTTTTTTTCAATGACACCACCTGAAGAAAGGAGATAATACCACAAACCCATATGGATTTACTGGGCTGGAAATAGAAAGAGAAGACTTTACAGATACAAAAAGACGATAAAATAGCTGGTTTCAGGAAAACATATGGCGATTGGCGTTGCATTTAAATTTTTGAAGATCGTAGTTGTCAGGGAAGCAAGAAATCGGAAGGGATTTCCATATTTTCTGGAAAAAAAAGTAAATATTAGAATAGAACGTACCGTTGCATCTATTCAGTTCAAAACTAAACAGTGAGATCTGGTGATCAATTTAGAAGCACGCTTAAAATAATGCAAAATCGGTTACATTACAGACACTTCTTTGAATTTTGTCAAGAATCTCGAGATATACAACAGGAGCACTAGACAAGATATGGCAGCAATATTCCATGCATAGATGAATGGTAGTTTAGTAAATGTGCAAGATGGATTCTGAGGGGGAAATTGTCTAGCATGACATATTAAACCAACATTCCTACTATTTGAAATATCAGTTGATTCAATATAATCAC